AGACTGACTCGCAAATCCCCGTCCTTGGACATCCCTGGAAAGCGTTTCCTCTCACCCGGTGGCGGCGAAGTTGGTCCAGAGATCCACCATGATCCGGGACACGAAGAGGTCCTCCTCCTTGGTCAGGCTGACGTTGAGCTTATCGAAGGAGAAGAGGTACTGCAGGTCGTCCGAGTCGCCCACGTCTGTGTGCGAGAGAAGCCTTTGTGTCGGTCGCCGACAGAGCTAAATCCGTCACTTGAAGACGGAGCAAAACGAAAACAGTGAAAAAAATCCAAACCTGCATTTATTCACAACAATTCGGGAAAAACCTCTTGTCCCCGAGGAAGGGCTCCTCACAGGCCAGGTTCCACGCGGGCGAGGGCCCCCGGAACAGGTCGGAGAAGGCGTGCTCCCCGCGGTGCTGCAGCTCGTAGGCGAAGGCGCGGAAGCCGAAGGCGGCGTCGCGCGCGTGGTGCTCGACGGCCTCCACGTGGCACATGCTGTAGAAGCTGTCGCCGAGGAGCTGGGGGAGGGGGAGGAGGGTCGGGGTCAGGCCGAGGTATGGACTCTGAGGCGCAGTCTAAACCAGGCCCGTGGCGTCTGTCGATGCCCAGCTGGTCTTACCTTGACGAGAGGGTCGATCCTGGTCAGGTCGAACTCCATGGGCCCCAGGTACCTGTGGAAGGCCAGGGGGCCAGGTACTCGGGGTCGTCGTCCCAGGCCTCGAAGCCGAGGGCGGGGGGCCCACGAGGCTGAAGTTCTGGATCATGCTGTCCATGACGCCGTCCTCCACGAACGCTGAGGAGGAAGCGAGAAAGAGGTTCCCTTTTACTTCAAAGTTCGACCGCCAGGTGGCGAAATGCTGTGCAGCATATGCTGGGAAGAAGTCTTTATAAATGATTGAAATGGTATTTGTGGCTGCGAGGACGGAGCCAGGCGCCGGCCCTCACCTCTGGCGTTGAAGGCGCCTCGTCCCGCGTCACGCCGGAGAGGACGTCGACGCGGTTGTAGCGGCCTTCCCTGACCAGCGTGGCGGGGTGGGCGGGCAGGAACTCGCCGTCCACGCGGGGCGTCAGGACGTACGGGGAGGGCTGTGGGCGGAGGCGAGGGTCACGTTTCCTTCTGTCCGTTTACTGATCCAGGGACGCATGAATGCACATAGACACGCACACACACACTCTAATAAGCCGTCCAGAAGGAGGCTCGCTCACCGTGATGTAGGGCGTCACGGCCATCAGCTGCTCGACGGGGACGTCCCTGAGGCAGTCGACGAGCGCCGTGCTGTTGGCGGCGTCCGCGCGTCGCCCGGACAGCCCACCATGCGGCCGAAGCCGAAGGCCACCTGCCGGTGGTCCTCCCGGAGCGCCCAGGGACACAGCGCCGCCCCCGACTGCATGATGGCTCGCTGGAAGAGGCCTTCGGCGGGAGAGGAAGGAAATTAGAGACGGGAGAAGTCTCTTGGGCGACAAATTACGCATCTGCCATAGATGGAACGTGGATGAGCTTGAGATAATCTTTAGTCAACCATCATATGCTCAAGGTCTGAATTCTCTCATCTACACATACACATCCTACCTCTTCCACATCTCGAATAGGAACCTAACTGGCCATGAGATGGATTTACCTCTGGCCAGGAGAGACGGACTTACCACTGGACATGGGAGACAGCATGTGGTAGTGCACAGCCGCGCCCCCCGCGTTCTGGCCGAAGATGGTGACCTTGTCTGGGTCCGCCGAGGTCGCGGATGTTGTCCTGCACCCAGCGAAGGGCCATCGCCTGGTCCTTCAGCCCCAGGTTGCCAGGGAGCTCGGCGTCCTCGGTCGACAGGAATCCTGAGGGAATCGACCGCATTAGCCCTTCATGGCTCTGGTGCAATGACGAGGAAGCGAGAATTGACAAAATGCACTAGATGAGAAATAGTCTTAATCAGATACTCAGCGCAATCCCATCTGATCACCGACAAGAAAGCCATCTTCGCACGCAACATGCCAACATAGACACCGGAAGCGGCACCGACACGAACCCAGGACGCCGAGGCGGTGCTGCAGGACGACGAGGACCACGTCCTTCGCCAGGAGGAACTCCGGCTGGAACAGGGGCGTCGCGTCGCTGATGAAGCCTCCTTGGGAAGCCACACCATCACGGGGAGGTCAGTCCGGTTGGGCTGAAACGCCATTCGGATTTCTAGTTGTAAGCTTACCAATGGTTGCAAAAATACATGCGAAAGTTAATGTCAACCATTAAATCTTTTATATTATTATTATTAAAAGTAATGAGGCAGCAGTGGTGCTGGAACCCATCTGGGCGAGGAGGAGCAAAGGTCACAAACTCACTGGCTGTTCCCGGCAGCGGCGGCGCCTCTCAAGGGCGCCCCGCGCGCCTCCTCCTCCCGAGCGACTCACCTGCGGCGTGAACACGGAGAGGTAGAGGCAGTCCTCCTGCATCCAGTCCGAGGGCGCGTCCGGCTGCGGGCACAAGGGCGGGGCCACGGTGCCGTTCCTCACGCCCTCCCACGCC